AGGCAGGCAGGCAGGCAGGCAGGCAGGCAGGCAGGCAGACATGAAATGCTTCTATGAGGAGAAGCTATGTGAATGAAAGTTGATTGTAAAATATATAAATAACAGTATGGAAATCCCCTAAAGAACTCCTAGCCATGTAGCTATGTTTTCTCTACAGAACTGCTTTACAAAGCCCTTATGATATGAAAAGGTAAAATAATAACATATCAGCAATTTTGCAACTAAGCGCTTTTCCTAATAGCTTTCACCAAAGTTTCATATTGCTAAGATGACTCTATTGGGAACAATCCACTTCTGAATAATGTATACATGAAAAAAGAGATAACCTCCAGGATCAAGATGCTGAAACTCCTGGGGCAAAAATAATAGTCGGTCAAGGCCTAGAAGCTGGGAAACAGAGCAGGGCAAGAATGTCTACCAGCGGGAAAATAGAGCACCCACTGAGGCTTCAGAACTGCAACAGTTCAAAATAATGTCCCAAACTTTGCTATGCTTCCCAATAAAGTGGACCAGTGGCCTGAAATAAATTGATTCAGTCTCCCAAAACAAATTAAATTGTGATAATATTCTATCCTGGAGAATATTAGAATGTACCAAAGATGGTACAAAACTTCATTGGGAAGGTGCCTTAAATTGTGGCCTGCAAGATAATTAGAAAAAGCCATCAGGGTAGCATTTCAAATGAGAAGAACAAGCCATGTTTTATAAGCTACCCTTCCAAGTTAAGAGTCATTATTTTCTTGTAGACTCAATTTCAGCACTGCCAATCATTTTGTGAGGAGGAATAACTCTTCAAAGAAGGAATCCGATTTCCATTTGAAAGTTTAGGGATCGAAAGGCAGAAAAATAAGTGTTCTATTTTCCTTAAAACAGAGTCCTCCCAACTACCCAACAGCAAGATCTTTCTGCATTTGTGTGGATTGTGAATCTGTTAGGGGTGACAGAAGGAAGTTTACTCAAATTTTATACTCAGGCAGGACAAATTGGCAAAAGGAGAAATCAATTACCTCAATCAATTATATATAAAGATATCCTTTTAAAACCCTGGAGAGAGAGAAAAACCTAAACAGGTCTAAAGGATAATATACTTTCTTTTTTAGGTAACTTTGCTAACTGTTATGCCTTATCCTGGTAAGCCATTTAGAAGAAGATGGCAGCCATGGAGATTATGAAACAAATATTATGGAAAAAGCATACATGCTACTCCATTTGTCCTGGTTATTATGTAGTCAGCAACACACAGGCAGATTTTACACGTGGGTAGGATGGTAGCCATTTTGTAAACTTTGCCCAGCTCACATTCCTAAACAAATACATATAGCACCCTATAACTCTCTTCCACCTAAAACATCAGTCCATATCAGTTCACAGCCACTTCACAGAAGGTTATGGACTGTAGTCTACCATTCTGGTTGACTATGGGTTATAGAGAGATTTGCTTTTCAGGGTCCTGGTCTAGGCCTAAAATATAGTGACTGGTCCAAAGCCACTGACCATCTTCCAAGCCTAAGAGAGGTTCTGACCAGATTTTTTTGCTGTCATCTTAACGTTTTCTCAACAAAATCTAAATATTCATAGTTCAGAGAAATTTGTTTCCTTGGTTGTTCATTTTCAGTTCAGTTTGTTGTTACAAAGTTCTGTCAGCAGCAGATCATCTCTACATAAAAAATTGTACCACACGTCTCTTGTTTTTTCTTTCAAATTATATATTTTTTCTTCTCTTTGATCATACAGAAAAAGTAGACTTTCTTCACGTGGCATGAGTTTCTATTCTTCAAATGGAACACATAAAAAGGGCAATCGCAGTTTCTTCTTTTATGCGAGCAACATGCAACATTTGAATACAACACTGAGAACAAAAGTATATGAGTAGTTATTATAAATTATTGGTCCAGATAAGATACAGATTTCTCAGATTTTTCTTGAAGCTGCCCAGTGTTGGAGTTTAGTATCTAAATAAAACAGGCTTTTGTGTTTAAATATGTATGGTGGTCACAGAAAATGGGTAGGTTGACACACTGCATTAAGTAGTAACATTAATGTCTGGATTTGGTTAATGCAATTTGTAAACTCAGCCAATTGTGTATTAGTAATCAAGTCACTGTTAATGAATCACAGTATAGTGCAATGTTGAACCAAGGTTAAAAATATTGACTTGAGCTCTCCAACTGCATGCAGTAGCATGTCTTTTTATAATCTAATGCCACATGAGGTTTTCAAGAAAAGTATAGCACTTTCTCTCAGTGATACCTCCGCTCCCTGATGGTTCAAGAGTGCTTCCTCTATCATGTGAAAAATCTCTTTTTCCAACTATAGCTGCTGTTAGCCCAAAGGCAAAATGGACACATTCCTTATGGAGAGAGCAGGAGCTGGGGGGCAAAGAGACAGTATTATGGAAGTGTTTGTCAGGTTAGAACAAGGTGTGATCCAATTCACACCCATTGTGAAAAGAGAATAGGAAGAGGGAGAGATATAAAAGCAGGAGATACCTTCCCTCTTCTTATTATGTAAGCAACTTTTCACTGAGGGAATTGCAGAATTTTGTTTTTATGGTCTTCCTTTTTCCTCTTCACTTCTTCCCATCCCATTGGCATTTTACACTATTATTAAAGCAACCTCTTCTTGCTACACAAGATCCAATAGCATATGAAAAATGAAGGTTTGGAGGGTCTCCTGGCAGCCTAGTTACAATTTCACATTCTGATTCTAATCTAAAATTCAAATTACTATATTTGGCAGAGGCTGAGTAAACGTATATTAGCTCCTCCTTTTTTTGAGAGAACTATTGTTGATCTCTGTTAAAACCATTGATCAACTGTACTGGACTTACTTTTGTGGGCCAAATGGTAACTCTGAACTTATATTTTAACAAACGAAATTGTGTTTTACATTACGTTTAACCAAATCTCTTACAAGTGAACCAGTTACAAAATATTTGAAATTATTTGATTGTATTTAGATAGTAGGCTTAACATAGGTGCTGTATTAACCCTAAAAAATAAATTTGGTCTAAGCTCAGCACACTGGGCAAAAATGTCCCTGTTTTTTATCCTGACAATGTAGATCCAAATGTTGATATTAGTGTGAATATGCTAATACTGCTGCAACATGACAATGAAGTAAGAACTATGGGAAGTTAATATTGAGGGCATGTTAATGTAAGCTGAGTTACTAGATGCTTCATCTCCCAACTGTCCTCTTTTTATGGAAAGTTCAAATATGGTTCCCCAACTGACTCAATATAATTTAGTTCAATGACTCTATCAGTAGTAAAGGAAAAGTCAATATACACAGTATATCTTTTAATAAAATTTATAAAAACTGAGGTTTTTTCCTGGCTTTGAATTAGTGTTGCATGTCTGACTCCTGACTCAAATCCAATCTTTATTTAATTTTCTTCACCCCTTGCTGAATTTATGAATTTTCAATACACTCTAAATTTTCTAAGAAATGAGTGAATGCCCATGACTAGAAAAATATATGCATCTGGTCAAAGTTGACAGCATATATACACACAGAAGTGATAGTTTAATGTAACAGTTTATTAAATGTATAGTTGCTAGCATTGAATCTTGAAGAACAGGTCAGTTGCCAGTGCTGATGGCTCACCATAAATTTGGTATGAAAAATCTTGGATACTGTACAACTTTCCTCTGAAAAAGTTGTATTGCTTTCTCCTTCAGCTTTCAACTTCATTACAAAGCCAACGTAAACACTTTACCATTTTCATATTTCTCACAGGAGTAATATGTCAAAATTATGGGTTTAATCATTATTAATTCCTTTGATATTTATCAACTGCATTAACATTAATCATGATAAACACTTCTAGTATAAATGTGGATGTCATTAATATAGCACTTCAAGTGTTTGTACTGCTGCTCAGCCTTCATTAACCGGACCATTAGTTACAAGGTGTTAACTTTTTGCATGAAGAACACCGTGTTTCTTATAATGGTACTTTGATGTATTTTTAAAGTCCTGTGGATTCTTCTCTACTGTGGTTTACAGTACACTGTGCAAAGCTTCAGAAGAATGTCTTGCTTCAAAACAATAATTTCCTTTAGGATGCTTTGCAAAACAAGGTGTCTTTCTATTTCTAAAATTGAAGTTTCTGAATTGCTTATAGATTGCTACTTTGGGGATATCCTGTAGCCATCCTGAAGCTCCTATTTTGCATGCATGCCTACTAAACATACAGTACCTGAGGAGTTCCCATAAACTAAGCAAAATATTATCACCAAACTTTGAGGAAGCAAATATTGTTTCCTCCAATACAAAAATACCTTGCCAAGATAACAAGAAGCCATCTTGCACATATGAACTTAGCTGTATAACGTATACTTTGTACAAAGATCAGACCTGTGTAAATCAACCCTGATTTGATTTGAATTGAGAATACAAGAGTCAAAAAGTGCATCTAAATGGCAATTAGAGCCAATTCAAGAACTGTTTCAAAAGAAAATATATCCATAGGCTTTAATGGGGAAATTTCCAAACATGTGAATTGATTCCAGGTTTTGCCAGGATGGAATGAAAATAGGGAAGTTAAACCTGTAAAAAATGTTAACACTGCCAAGTTTTATTTGAATGCTTTAAAGGGCCTTACCACAAAGGAAAAAGCAGAGTTGAATACAACAATACTAATGAACAGTACAATAGCTTCCAAATTGTCTGGCAAAAAGCTCACAAAAAAGTGCAAAAAGTGTCCTACTTCAATTAAAAATATTATGTTTGATAAATAATATTAAAAATAAAGTTTTCCCTTCTTTTTCATCTTTCCTTAGAAGACTTCCCTCACTCCCCACTTCAGTGGGTGCTACGTTGAGGGTACATTGGGAAATTTTCTAGATAGAATTAAAAAGTATATCCACTTCTTGTCCTTATAGAGTGTACTTAAAGATGTTGAGATTCTAGAAAGAGTGCAGAGAAGAGAAACAAAGATGATCAGGGGATTGCAGGCTAAAACATATAAAGAACGATTGTTGGAATTGGGTATGTCTAGTTTAATGAAAAGAAGGACTAGGGGTGACATGATATCCAATATCTCAAGTGTTGCCACAGAGAAGAGGGAATCAAGCTATGCTCCAAAGCACCTGAGAACAGGAGAAGAAGCAATGGGTGAAAACTAATCAAGGAGAGAAGCAACCTAGAACTAAGAAGAAATTTCCTGACAGTTAGAACCATAGTCCAGTGGAACAACTTGCCTCCAGAAGTTGTGAATGCTCCAACACTGGAGGTTTTTAAGAAGAGATTGGACAACCATTTGTCTGAAATGGGGTAGGGTTTCTTGCCTGAGCAGGGGGTTGGACTAGAAGACCTCCAAGGTCCCTTCCATCTCTGTTCTATTCTATTCTAGTGGTTAGCTACGATGCTTGTTCTGACCACTGGATTTTCTGGCATGCCAGGAAGATTGGTGGCATAAATGGTTGCTAAGCTGATGTCTCCAAAAAAGAAAAGAAAACATCATTGGCAAGGTTTGTTTGTCAGTTTGTTATTGCTTAGTAGCCATATTATTTGTTAGAAATTTAGGAGAGGAAGTGGGAGCAGGAATAACACATTGGGATGGAATGCCACAGAGATAAGCAATCCTGAGAATTTGAGCCAGCAAAGTGTTAGCCTGATGTCCATGTCACTCATCGTCAAGAGTTTTAAACCTGTTACAATCGTGCAACATGAAGTATATTTAGAATATTGAGATCCCAGTTGGGTTGACAAAGCCAACAAAGAACTGTAACATTCCATTATTACAACAGAGAGAAAAGTAAGGGCATATGGCTAGATGTGCTAGAAAAGTTGATGACTGAGGAAGTGAATGGAGCCAAAATAACCTTAGTCTTGCCACCTCAAAAACAGCTCCATTAGGCAAAGAATGTAATTAAAGTGATAAATCCTAATGGATAACTGCTTACATCAGTATTAAAGAGGCTGTCATAACATTCAGGATCTCTTCACTGTTCTTTATATATGGAATTTAAGCTGCAACATTCTATTTTGCTGAAAGCAGTAGAAAAGCTGTTGAATCTTCAGAATGCTTCAGGAGCCCCTGGATTCACTTACTGCTTTGAAGAAAATCTTCATTTTGATTCACGATGCCGCTTTAATGAGATGAGATGATCAATGTTTCTTTGAAACAAACCAAACAAAGCTTCCTAGAATGCAGCATTCCCCAACTTGGTGCTCTTCAGATATGTTAAAAGCTGCATGACCTGGCAGCTGGGAGTTGATGAGAGTTGTTGGCTGAAGTTTCTGGAAGTCAGAAAACTGTGCTTTCATGGGCAGAAATTATCAGGGCTCCTAAGTAGAAGTTCATCTCACGAATGAAGGCAAATATATGTATCCCAGGATAAGGTTGCAGGATCCAATCTGGTTATTCACCAGGACCAGAAGCTTAGTCTTCCGAGCTTTTGGCTCATGCTAGAGCCCATCCTTGGGGAACTTCTCTCTACCAGAGAAGTAGGGCTATTCTATGCATCGTATTTATGTGGTGTCGGTTGGGTGTGCCTATCTATTGGTTGATTGGGGATTTGATGGCTGACTACTGGTTGTTGATTCTTTGTGCTGCCAAGTCCTCAGTTCCTAAGTACCTGATAAGATGATGGTAAATCAGCATTACTATTGACTTACAAGAGGCCAGTTTCCCAGGCTTCAATCATTCCCTAGTTATCTACAGAAAATTTTCTGTACATAGATTCTGATAACTGGAGATGCCAGAGATTAGTTCTTGGGACATCACAGACAATATATTGGAATCCATTGCCATACGTGAAGAAAGATTTCGTGACAGAAATTAAAAATCAAGCATTTATTGAGCTTAAGTTCTTTCTGTCTTTTTTGTGTTGACTCTACCATCCTTGACTCTCCTACAAGAACATTCCCCCTGCTCTCCCGCTCCTTTACCAATAAGAAAAGCACAAAATTGTGACATATAGACTGGCAGCACCACTTAACACAATACAAATATACAGGATGTCAAAATCATTCCTCATGGGCCAATTTCACTGGCTATCAAACCCAATACTTTTTAAAATGGAATTATACCTGAAGCATTTGAATGGCCCCCTATGGAAAAAAAGGCAGAGTGTAGCTGAAATATGCTGCCTTGTGTTTGTTGTTGTTGTTGTTGTTGTTGTTTTAGGGTTTTATTTATTGCACCAAAGTAATTTAAGTTTTGGTTCTTTCTTGATGAAGCTGCATATATTATATTTCACTATGAACCGTTATTCTTTCAAAATCTCTCCAGATATAATACAAAATATCTCATCTCCCAGAGCTGACACGTTGACTTTGAGCTGCATTTATCTCTTCTGTAACTCGGTTTAATTTAATATGGGGTTCTATGTCTAATGTCTATCTAGAGTCCTCCAAAGATAATATTTATGGAAGTTGCTCTTGTCTAGCTCTCCCCTGTTCCCAGGCTGTAAAGATAGGCACCATATAGGGCTCATTAACAATAATATGTTTGGCGGTTTGAAATGGATGGACAAGCCTCTTGGCTTTTTATGGCACCATGCTGATTTTAAAACAAGCCTGTTTTCCAAGAGGACAAGATACATCAAATTGATGGAAACTCTAGAGCCTTTCCTTGCTTGACTGAATCCGTTGCATGTCGATTTTCACTACTTTGTGTTTGCAGGATATTTGCTTTTTTTTTTAAAGGAAAAAAAAGAATATCTCTTATGTTCATCTTGTCATCCTGACTCTCATTTGCTTTTTTTCGCTTTTGCTTTTTGTTTTGCAGCCTGTGAACTCATGAACCATGGGATCCTGGCTCTGGTCAGCTCGATTGGTTGTACATCTGCAGGATCGCTGCAGTCTCTGGCAGATGCTATGCATATTCCTCATCTCTTCATCCAGAGGTCAACAGCTGGGACTCCAAGGAGTGGCTGTGGCACTACAAGGAGCAACAGGAATGACGATTACACACTTTTTGTCCGCCCACCTGTCTACATCAAGGATGTCATCTTGAGGGTGGTCACAGAATATGCCTGGCAGAAATTTATTATTTTCTATGACAATGAATACGGTGAGTATTTACTGTCTCTGTGTCTGCATAAGGGGTAAAGTGCTGTTGTACAATGTAGATAATGCTATTAAGTGTGATAGCATTAAAAACTTTGAATTCTTCCTCTAGATTACCTTCTTCTCTAAGCATTCAGTGACAGCATTAGCATTTCATGTAATCCTTATGCTTTAAAAAGAAACAAAAGTTAAAAAAAAACAAACAACAACTATCCATTGACTTTGGTGACTTTGCTTGATAATTCCTTTGAAAAATGCTCAGCTAAATTATTACAGATTTTTTTTATGAGCAACACTGATATGCTCACTTGAGCCCCATCTATTCTATGCAAGACAAAAAAAAAACACATGGAACTGACCATAGCATATTCTTTTTTTTTAATTCGACATTAAAAGGACATTTGTGAAGTTGATAGAACTAATGCAAGATTACCTTTCACTTGCCTTGCACCTTGGCAACTTCTATGAAATGATGCTGGATGAGGAAGAAATGGAAAAAGAGTGTGTTAGAACATTACATATATTATATGCATCTCATATAGAACTTGAAAAGCAAGAACTTAAAATTTAAAATGAAAGTTGGAAGAACTCCATTTTCTTGTTCTTGGTCTCCCTCACTGCTTAGGCCATTTTGATGTAAGCATTCTCATAATGTCATAGCACTATCAACATTTATATCAGATCAGTCAGAATGCTTTTCTCATTCACTTCAGGAATGTAATTTGGGCTGCCTGATATTTATTTATTTCTTCAACTCCTTGGTTTTATATCCTTTCTCGTATTAAACATGCCTTCTAATTTGCTCCTACAACACAGAACCAGGAGGTAGAAACCTAAAAGGTCTTTATCAGCCCAAACATCAGAAACTGGGTTGCATGATTGAGAATAACCTTCAATCTCAGTTTCTTTAATCCAGGAGTCCCCAACCCCTGGTCCGTGGACCAGCAACTGGGCCGCACAAACATGCAAAGCCCTATCCATGGGATGCAGGCAGCATACAAAACCATGCACCCTCCGGTCCATGGAAAAACCTCTCTCCACGGAACCGGTCTCTGGTGCCCAAAAGGTTGCTCTAACCCTACACAATACTGATATTGTACAATACAAGTTTTTCACACACACTTGGTATACTCCAAATTGTAACTGCTAGAAATGTCTAGAGTAGAAATTCCATGGGAGGGAGGAGCTTATTTATTTATTTATTTATTTATTTGTGGGTGCAAACCTTCAAGTCAGCCTTGATTCCTGGTAACTACATGAACAAGCCCATGTAGTCTGGGCAAATCCAAGCAATTGTATCATTAGATGTCTAGATTAACTCTCACTGTGGTCCTTAAGATGCTCCACGAACTCTTTCATCTCTAAGAGGGGATAGATTTCCTAAACAGAGCGCCAACTGATATTCTGCAGAGTAGAACAATAATTACATTTTGCTACTCTTATTGCCACAGCATAATCCTTATTAGAGATAAACATAAGGTCTTTTTAACTAACTTATTAATAAAAATATACTTTCAAATTAGGAACGTCCACCAATCAAAAATTTTACTTTGGTTCCTAATTCAGTCATTTAGAACATTACATACTTACTGTTGAGATGTGATATCCTAGGTGTAAGGAGATACTGAGCTGAAACAAGCCATCTTTAAGAATTTTTAGGACTCCATGCCTGCTTGGAGAATTGGGATTAGCGACAGCAGCCACTACTCCTTGAATATCCAATATGCAGTAAAGGCATCTACCAAGTTAATGCCAATTCTGAAATGAAGCCATTTGCCCAATATGCTAAATTATACACAATTATTTTTAAAGGAGTGAAGTTATACAATATACAAAGCAAAGAGTAAGAAACCATCTTTTTACTATCTAAGAGATTCTAAGTCTGTTACCAATATTTTGGGAGGACTCAGGTTTACTTTGAAAAGTTTGAATGTAAATTATTTTAAATGCTGTCTGAGTTTTGCCTAAGTGTAATTATCAACCATATTTTGAATCCTGTGCTCCATTTTTCCCGTATTTGTTTATTGTGCTAAAATTAAGCACCATATACTTTCTCCTTATTGTTACTTTGAATCTGAACCTTTTTTTTCCATTAAAAAAACTATTCCTCCTGCAATTCCATTTCTGCTGCAGATTGCCTTACCAGTGACTCACTCAATTCAAGCGCATAGGAAGACATTCTGTTATGTCTTATATGTACTGCAAGTACAATTTTCCTCACATTTTTAATGTTTTAATTATTATCGTTATTCATCTATTATTCCAGAGTTATTCCTCTGTCCTGTTCTTAATTCTGAGTGGCTGAGAGGTACAGAAAGAGAGAGAGAGAGAGAGAGGGAGGGAGGGAGAGAGGGAGAGAGAGAGAGAGAGAGAGAGAGAGAGAGAGAGAGAGAGAGAGAGAGAGAGAGAGAGAGAGAGAGAGAGAGAGAGAGAGAGAGATCTTTAAATCAGCCTCTTTTTCTAGACACCAAATAGATATACATACTTGTGGAGTTTTCTAGGCATGACACACAAGTGGTGTCGATTTCTTTCAGGTGGTTTTTTTTTCAGAATTCCAACAATGTCCCAATATAGCCTATAGTCCTGGTATTCTCTCATCTGAATATTAAACACATGGGGCAACCAAGTTCTATTAGATATAGAACTTGTTAATTAGTATGCAGCATTGCAGGCTAACTCTGCCCACATTCTGGAGTTTGATCTTGATGGGCTCAGGGTTGACTCAGCCTTCCATTCTTCCAAGGTTGGTAAAATGACATAAAGGACTTAGATCGTTGGGAGCAGTATGCTGACATTATAGACCACTCAGAAAGTGCTATAAAGCACTATGGAGCGGTATATAAGCCTAAGTGCTATTGCTATTACTATAGATGTTGCTGAGCTGGTATTATTTTTTTAAATAATCTAAGGAATTATATTTGAGGTTCATTTATTATAATGTAACCCTTTTGCCCATATTATTTAATATCTCCATTTAAAAGGAAATACATAATTTCAATAATGATTGAAATTATGCCTTCCAATATACTTGCATGCTAGAGGTAAGTAACTTTCTGAAATTTATTATGAATTTCAATACAACAAAACTGGGCTGGAATCCAGATAAATATCATGCTAATCCGAAAACCTAACATTGAACAAAGGCACTAGGCTCATTTACATATCCATTTATCAATGTCAAAGGTTTTAAGTTCAACACACTGGAATTGCATTTGACTTTTATCTGTACTATCAATGATTGCCTTTCACTAGAGGAATGATGGATCATAATTTATATTTGGAATTATGTATTTCAGCAAGGCAGAGAGTTATTTGAATTTTCTCCTCTTTGTAAAATAGCCCAAATTCTTTTTGAATGCAACTGACCCTATTCATTTGATTTATTAAACTAGTGGCGGGAGGAGATGGACAGGCCCTATTATTTCTCATTGGTAGAAGCCAGCAGTTCATTTACAATTCTCATTCCAACAAAGAAAATAGCAGCTTTTCAAAAGAAGTTATTATTTCCATATAAGTCCTAATTAGAGGGTTGAGCAGAAAATGATTTTGAGAACTCACTTCACATCCACAGATAAGCTTGTTCATAAATTGATTACACATTTGCAATGAAACTTAAAATGTGATGGATATGGAAAACAAAACGACATCTCATAAAACCGGAGCATCAATTTTAAATGAGAGCAAAGTACAGTGCAGCTATTTGTTAAGTTTAGTTTGCCCAAATATAGCTGATTTTTCTAAAACAAATAAATGGCCTGGATGCATGGTAGAATTATACAGCATCAGAACTATGGAATGATAGAAGTGTGTTTGGTTCTCCACATAATTTCCCCACCTTACATCGCTATTCAAATGGAGTGTACTTCCTGTTTTCACAATTGAAACAGTTACCAACTAGAGCAGTGGTGGCGAACCTATGGCACGGGTGCCAGAGGCGGCACTCAGAGCCCTCTCTGTGGGCACGCGTGCCGTCGCCCCAGTCCTAGGCCTTCAGCTGGGTTTTGTAAAACCTTTTTGCTTTAGGCCTCCGCCGCCGTGTGCAAAAAAAAAAAAAGGTTCAATCAGTCAATTTCAACTTCTTGCGGGAAAAAAAAGATCTTGCAAAGTTGAAATTGATTGATTGAACTTTTTAGTCCCACCCAGTCTGCCATTACCACCGCAGCCACGCCCACCCTATGGGCCACACCCACCCAATGGCCACACCCACCCAGCACTTGATGATGCATAAGTGGGTTTTGGGTTGCAGTTTGGGCACTCAGTCTCTAAAAGGTTCACCATCACTGAACTAGAGCTTGTGGAGTCTTTAGTGGTCTCTGAGCTTCCTTGTTTTTTGTAGATGTTTTGTTACCCAACTAGATAACATCTTCAGTCCTAGAAGGGAGTTGGGTTTGCTCTCAGTTTATATTAAGTAGTTGCCCTATCAATGTCGGTGGAGATGTTGCTTTCTCCTTGGTAATTCCTTGATTAGGCTGTTGTTTACTGCATGTTTGGTGTTAATATTTAAACCCTGGATATCTGGGTGTTGATTCCTGGTTAGGAGTGTTCTGATCTTTTTCTTTCCTTTTAGCTTTTTAAATAGAGTTTAGACAGGCAAAAGAAACAAGGGTATCTTTACACACACATACTGTTACCACTCCATATCCATTGTGTTGTAAGAATGCATTTATTTATTTGCATCCTGCCTTTATTGTTTTTACAAATAATTCAAGGCCGCAAATATATTCACCACATCTTTCTCTTCCTATTTTCTCCACAAAAGCAACATTATGAGGTGGGTTGGGTTGAGAGAGAGTGGGCTTCCATGGCTAAGGCGGGACCTGAACTCACAGTGTCTTGCTTTCTAGCTTGGTGCCTTAATGTCTGAGGAGATTCTCAGTCATCCAGGTCATAGTTGTCTCAAAGGTGCTTTTTTCAAAAGGCAACTGGACTATTTTTTTTCCTTGAAGAAGAAAACGTTTCATTTTTCATCCGAGAAGCTTCATCAGTTCTGATGGTTGCAGGAAC